GATAGCTCAGGCCGCAACCTATTCGTCGTCTCCGCCAGGCTGCCCTCCGCGCACCTCGCCCAGGTGCTTGTTGAGGATCGCCCGCCGCTTGAGCTTCTCTAGGACCTTGTCGTCGGCACCCCTGCTCTCGCTGCTGGGGTCCCCGTCCACGCGCAGGTACTCCTCCGCCAGGCTCCAATCGACCTTCGACGTCCACTTGCCCCCGTGCTGCAACTTCGGCATCTGCCAGTCGGCCTAACACTGGACGCGCTCGTAGGCCTTCCAAATCGAGTAGAGCCGCAAGCACGTGAACTCCGCGGCCTGAGAGTTGATCAACTCGTCGCGCTGCCCCTGGCTCATCATCCTGTCCAGGACCATCGCCAGCATATTCAGATCATGTGCCACCCCCGCGCCCTGCAGCTCCTTAGAGCGGAGCCACTCCTGCGTCTCGAAGCGGGCGCTGCGCCCGCCCTTGCACAGCTTCGCCAGCACCGCGGGCGCCACGCGGGTCTTGACCCCGCCCACCGGGCTGCCCTTCACGCGGCAGCGCCGCTCCAGCGTCGACAGCAGCATGTCCTTCGGGTTGCCAGCCTCCTCCTTAAACTGCACGATCTGGTCCTTCAGCGGGTCGTCCAGCTCGCTCACGTCCCCGATCTTCTTCCACGAGGCCGCGCTCGAACTGGGTGCCGGCGACCCCGCCTGCGCACGCGTGCTCGAGGCCGCGTCGCGCCAGACCGCCTCCTCGTGCTCCTCGAGCTTCCTGATGAACGAGTCGACCTCGGCCAGGGCAGGCCCCCCCACCCTCGCAGGCGGCGGCTCGGCGGGGGGAGGCAGCGGCGAGCCCTGGCCCCCAGGCGCAGGGCCACCTCCACCGGGGCTCACCGTGGGATCCGCCCCCCCCTGGTCCAGCCTCGACTGCGGCATCCCCACCGCGCTGGCGAGGTCCGACTGACCGCGGGCCAGCTCGGCAAACAGCGTCTCGTCGTCGCTCGCCCCGCTCACGTCGTCAACAGCGCACACGCCACCCGCGTCTGAATCCGAACCCGAGTCACTCTCAGAACCGCCGTCTGGGAGCGATGGGCACCAGTAGCTCCACAACGCGTAGACCCCAATCACCGCGCAGCCCACGTAGCCAGCGAAGATCTCCAGGTCCCCACCCGCGTAGAGCTCCCAGGCGAAGTCGCGGAAGTTCTCGAGGTCCTCCAGGCGGCCACCACGGCGTGGTAGCAGGAGGCGAAGGTGGACCCCGGCTTCAGCCAGCGCCAGATCCGCCAGGACACGACGAGGATGGCCGCGCCGCCTCCCCAGGTCCTATGGGTCCAGAACGCGAAGGCCGTCGAGACGAGGCCCCTGCCGAACCAGGCCGCCGTCTTGGTCCTGTTGCTCTCCTTCTTCGGCTTCTGCTTCGTAGTGTTCGCCTTCGCGCCCTCGGCCCCCGCCTGCCCAAGCTCGTGCCTCTCGATCAGCCGCTCCGCTGCGATGACCGCCTGCTCCCTCTGCTTCTCCGTCAATCCCGGGTGCTCAGTCCAGGTCGCGCCCTTCTTCGGACGCGCGTGCACGTGAGCCTTGTCCGTCAAATGTATGATCTGCACCCGCTGCGCCGGGCCCACCGCCGTCCACGCTGGCGAGTTGCTCGGGCCTACGCGCGAGACCAAGAGCACGACGGCGCCCGCGGTCCGCCCCTTGGCCTGCACATGCACGCGGCCCCGCCGGCTCCACGGCGCCATGAAACCCGCAGGGCTCCCGCGCGAGCGGGCCTCACCGCCTTCGGCGCCCAGCAGCTCGACGAAGACCTCCTCCTCCTCGGCCGGGCTCGCGCCGAGGAACTCCCCGAGCTCCCCGACCTCGCTGGGGGCCAGCGCGCCGAGCAGCGCCCAGCCGAGGCGCCCGATGGCAGGTGCCGCGGCGGTGCCCCCGAGCCCTGGGCTCGGCGCGCGGGGCTGGAAGCTTGCCCAGGGCTCAAAGAATCCGAGGGCCTGGCCCGAGACTCGCTTGAGCCGAAACTTTACGCCAAAGGAGCAGAAGGCGAGCAGGAAAATACGGGTGGCAAACGATGGTTATGCTACCACGAAATCACCGTTGCTGCAATACGCCACCCGCCAGCTCTACAAACTCCTAAGCTACAATATGAGGCGGCTATCTATACACTGTACGGGGTTGTGTAAAAGTGTGTGTGTTCTGGTATAAAACACGTATGCAGCCACGCACCCAGGGGCAATGAAGGACCGTTCAGCCCCCTCGCTCAGATTTTTAGCGCAGGTCTCGGCGGTCCAGCATGCAGTTCGGCGTGCTGGGGCTAGCAGGCGCGGTGCTGATGGGGCGCATCCACGAGGAGAGCGGAAGTGGATCGGAGGAGGAGGAGCGGGGCGCATCCAGGAGGAGCACGGAAGTGGATAGAAGGAGGAGCAGCAGAAGGAGGAGGAAGAGGATGAGGAACACCAGGGGGCCCAGAGTAAACCCAAGACTCATCAACGATATTGCAGCGAACCCTCCACCCCAGCTCCCTCTTCATAGGCCCTAAACCCACAATTACACGGTTCATTTTCCATGAGGGAAGTGCTTCGTTGGAAGACAACCGGCTGAGCATCTGGAACTGTGCCAGGATACCACCCCTGGGACTTCAACGCCGCGGATCAGCATTAGTCTTGCGTCTTGGCGATCCTGAATCGTGCCAAAACGCCGCTCCTGGGAAGCCGACACCGCGGATCACCCCGACTGTCTCGCCTTGACATCCCGACGCCTCGCCATAACACCTTTCTTGTGACGTTGACCATGAGAATCCTTGAAACTGCTGCGAACTCTTAAGGAGGATAATCTGCGCGGCGCTTTTAGGCGAGAGCCACATTCCGAAGAGCAACTGCCCTACATCCGTGGAGCTCGCGTAAGCTTCAAAGCAACGAAGGTGCGCGACGCTAAGGCGAGAACCACGTTTTGGAGACGGCCCGCCCTCCATCCGTGAAGCTCTTGCAAATTATGGGCGCTTCGCGTGTCCACACCAGCGCTTTCGCACCTCCCCTTGTGTGGTCTGTCGCCGCAGCGCGTAACGCCGAATTCCCTGGCATTTTGCTCTGGGCTGCGCGATGCTCGCGCTCCCCTGGGTGCCTGATCAGCCAGCCAGCCCCCGCCCGGCTGCCCCCGCTGCCGCCTGGTGAGCTGGCCCGGCCGGTTTAAGTTGCACCCGGCAGCGAATTCGGTTCGCCCGTCGGCGCGGACGACTTCTCTTGCCGCCTGCGCGCTCGCTTGCGGCCGCGACCAAAAACAAGTGCCCCCGCCAGCTGAAATTGACACCCTGGCGCAGCTGCTGCGCGTGGCGCCCCAGGGCCAAGAGCTGCGAGACAGACTCAAGGACGCAGACGGCCTTCCCCTGTTCCCCTGGACTCCCGGAAGGCGCGCGCCCTCCTGGTCATCATGATGCTCATGATGAGGGAGCCCAGGGCCTTCCTGTGGCCCTTTCCCCATGCCGAAGGTACGGGCGACGTCATCGAGGCCGTGCTCGGTATCTGCGTTCTTTAGCAGGATGCGCACCTGGGCATTCTGCAGAAGTTCGCGGCAGCGTGGGATCTCTCGCTAGACGACTTCGTGGAGCTGCACGGGAGGATCGAAGACGCGCTCACCCAGATCTCGCGCCTGGTAACGAACGCGCATCACCACGATGCGGCGAGGGCTGCAGGGTGCCCACAGTCCTGGAAGGACATGGGAAAGGCCGACTTTAAGCTCAAGGCTCCAATGATCGTTTTGGAAAAAATCGTACCCGCGGCCAAGCTTGCACCCCTGGCAGACCACAAGTGCTCCGTACGCGCGCTCCACACTGCCTTAGCAGGGTCCGAGGCTGGCCTGGGTGAAGACAGAGGCGACGCTGTGCTGGGGTACATTGGCGGAGGCGCAGCCCTCTCCAAGACCGATCTGGCCTCGCACACACCAGCAGCCCCCGCGCCTTGCACGATGCTGGTCCCCATGGCCGTCAGCGATGACAGGCTGCAGAGCGAGCAGAAGAACGCGCTCTTCACCTGCGACGGCTGCTCCAAGACCCGGCTGAAGTCTAACGACGGGACCTGGGAGGACGACGTCGTCAGGGACCTCTTGGCCAGCAACAGACCTCAGGCATGCCTGGAGGGCAGAACCTCACCGGGCCATGCGAGACCTGCTGGGTAGCCGGCCTCAGCAGAAGGGGCGCCCCAAGTCCAGCGGGAGCGACCGCGGCCGCCAAGGTCCAGAACTGCTCGGCCGGGCAAAGCGGCCGGCCATGCGACCCCAAGGCCAGAGCGCTCCCTCCGCTCCCCAGCCACTGGCCCCTAGGCTACGGATGCAATCCTCTCTCCCGGGGCTCCAGGGCGCTGACCGACCTCCTGATGGCCCCGCCGACCCAGCACTGCCCAAATATCGCCAACGCTACACTGCCAGCTAACAGGATCCTGGACGGAAGGTTCGTCGGCGAGGCCCACAAGACGGGCTCCTACTCCGCCAAGTGCGACGCGCGCCCGCCTGGAGGCCCACTCCTGGCACGGAAGGTCGACGCCCAGCTCTCGGCTGCTTCGCTTGGAAGGCCCAGGCCGAGACAGGAAGCACTGAGCGCGCAGGTCTTCCCGAGTAGGACCAGTGGCCGCTCTCCTGGTTCGAGCGGAAATGGTGCGCCGCGTGGTGCTGCAGGAGGCGCCTGGTCTACATTTGGAACGTCGCACCAGCAACCCTGGACTGTATCATGGACCGAGACTCCCGGACAGACTGTCTGCCCGCAGCAGCCAGCAGCACGCCCGCGTCTCGCAGAGCAGGCAGACGGCGACGACGCCACACCCGACTTGGCCGCCCAGCTCGCGCCCGCAGCAGCAGACGCAAACGCGCCCGATCCTTACGCCAGCAGCACGGCCTCAGCCGGCCCGGTGGCGAGCAGCAGCGGAAACCGCGGCGGCGTGTCCCAACCCGACTCGCGCATCCGCGCAGTCCCAGAGCTCTTGGGGCTGCTCCCAGAGTTGCCGCCACCAGAGATCCCAAGACTCCGCTGCAGACAAATCTCCACACTCGCCATGGAGGAGACAAACGACTCCAAGCGCAGCCGCTCCAACAAGCTGAATGAGGCCCAGCATATCCTGGTCGCCTACCTGCGGGGCTACCACCCCGCGCTGGACGGCTGCTGGACGGACCGCATAAAAGCGGAAGGCGCACAGATCCCAGCACCGAAGGATCAGGAAACCTCCTGACCTGCCCACCAGCTGACACCCTTCCTGGCCAGGATCTACGGCGCAGAAATACCGCAAGGTGGTCGTCCCGGGGGCGCCCCATGGGGCGGCAAGAGTGGTCGGGCATCTGGCGAGCGGCGCGAAGCACAAGAAGGCCTGGGCGGCGCGCTGCACGGCCCTGGCGCCCGACAAGGGCCCGAGCCCCTTTCGCCGCGAGCTCGCCGTCGTGGTCAGCTTCCTGGCCAGCCTGGGCCCCGGTGCGCTCGCAGCTGCCTCCATCGCAAATCTCGCCGAACAAGGCGCCCCTGCTGCGGGCCTGGGCGAGGCGCACTCGGCACCCCCGAGGGGTCCTGAAGGTCCTGGCTTGCGCCGAAGACCGAGGAGACAGCAACTACGGAGGCCGAGTCAACTGCCGACCCCATGGCCCAACCCGACGACGCGGCCCAGCCCAAGGAGGCCGACCCCCCCGCGCAGCATGCGGACCGCGCCCTTCAGGCGGCAGATCAGGACGTGACAGAGATCCTCCCTGGTAAAGAGGCAGCGGACTCTCCAACGAACCCATCGCCGACCGATAAGGCCGACAGCGATGAGGTCGATTCCGGCGCCGACGAGGCCCGTCCAGCGGCCTCGCCGCCACCTGCCGAAGACGCAAAAGGTGCAGCCGAGCAGGAAGGCAGCTCCTTCCAACCTTCTCTCGACGCAGCTGGCGACGCGGCCGTGGACGGCCCTCTCGACGACCCCCCGAGCGCCTTCGGGCAAGCTGCGGCGGGCAAGAGCAGGACCGAGCCCTCCAGCGAGGCGCCGGCCGAGGGTGCGCCCCACAGGTCCGGACATGGCTCTGCTAAGGCCCAGGAAAGCAGCGGCTCGCAGCGCAGGCCAGATCCTGGAAGTCAAGCGGCCACAGACGGCGCCCCTGGTGGAGGCAGAACGCCGACAACTCCCGCGCGATACGACGCGGGGACAGGAGACACAGCAGGGCCGCCAGCCGTGCCTTCGACGATCTCGTTGACCCCGTGGACGGAGGCCGCGTGTACAAGGAGGTGCTGAGCAACGTTGACCTCGACAGGTTCGGCGAGAAGCCAGCAGCCAAGATCGCGCGACGCCAGAAGGACCTGGGAGGCGCGTTCAACGGCGTTTGGCACGCACGCGCCAGGAAACACCTTGCGGGAGCCAAAGGAATGCCGAAAGGCAACCCTGCACAGAACCCCGGGGCCACCTGCCGCAACTTCCCGGGCGCCTGGAAACGCTGTGGATTCGACGCTTATGAGCTGGATCGGCAACTCGACCTGCGGGCTGACTGGGGCGAGGAGCGCGCAAAATGGATGGGGCGCCAGGGCAAGGGCGACCACCCGCCAAAGGGCCGCGCGTCCAGCTCGCAGCAATCCCGGGACTGGGACAGCTGGTCCTGGAAAACACTCCTGGAGCGCCAACGACTGGCAGACAGGAGGCAAGCGGGGCGGCGACCACAACGGCGACGGGAAAGGCGACAAGCGCTCCCGCACATGGCGGTGATCCATCTGTTCTTCGGCAAACCAATGGCCTTCAGCCACTTCCTGGTAGCGCCTTCTGCCTCCCACTTCTCCTCCTGCGTCACAATCCAACGTGCGGCTTTCAGCCGCTTTCCTGGTCCCCTCCACTCTCCTTCAGCGCCCGCTGCCCCCCGCCCTTGGGACCCTGGCAGCTGCCTGCTGACAATGCCGACGCGTGGACTGCCGCCAGGACCGTGGTCCGCATGTTCTAGTTGGCCCTTGGCCTCGCTGTAGTTGTCTTCACCGCGCCTCGGCGCCCTCCGCCCCCCGCGCCTTTCGGCAGTTGCCCCGCGCCGAGCTGCTCCGCTCCCCGCGCACAGACGGCACTGCCACGCTTCTCTCTGGCCCTTACTCCCTTCGGGCCCCCCCTCGCCAGCCGGGCGCTCCCAGTTTGCATCTTGCGCTTGACGCGCTGATGCAGCCGTCCTGGGTGAGGCGCTTAGCCGTGCTATCGGCGGCAGTTCTATGCGTGCTGCCATTCCGTACCTGATCCATCGTATTCCTGGTTGGCAGCATCAGGCGCGTGGCCGGTCCGTTCAGGTTTTCGGCGACGATCCCTTCCATCCTTTTCCTGGCTGGCTCTTCCTCTCGTTCTCGGAGAGGGGATTGCCCCGGATGTGTTCTCTCAGGAGTGAGTGTGCGATTTCGGTGGCGCCACTCGTACTGGTTCCTGGTCAGTGACGCATTCCTGGCCATCGGTGTTAGCATTACCTCCTGGAGCGCGTTGCAAGCGAGCTGCCCCCCTCAGGGGCTGTGTGCATGGATCCCTCGTGTGGTTTATCCTATGTCAAGTCCTACACGCCCTCAGCGGTCGCTTGTCAGCTTCGCTGTCTGTGACCTTGCCGCGCCATTTTGGCTGCGTATACCTCCTTTGTTCAATTTGTGCATCGGCACTGCCCCCGGATCCTGGTCCTGGTTGCAGTTTGCATCGTCCGTCGGCAAGGTTTCGGGCCCTGCCCCACTTCCTGGCACCACCTCGCGCAGCCCGGCAGCTTAGGCAGCTTAGATATGGCCGTCGGTCCCCGTGAGCTAGGCAATTCGGTTCGCACGTAGCCCGCCCGACCTCTGACGGTGCTGGCGCGCTCGCCTGCGGCCGCGACGGAAAAAGTGTCCCCGCCAGCCTTCGTAGCTAGCGCGCTATGACTTTGACTGCGTGCGGCAGCTCCGTATCGCTTGCGATCAAAAGGTCCCCACCAGCCCATCCAGGAACAATCGCCGGGGGAGTTGTTAGATTTATGGCGGTGAAGAAGCATGCAGTGGAACGGGCCGCCGTGGAGTCATATTGGGGGCCCAGCAACCGTGGCAACATATGTTGCATCATATACGAAGTTTCCCTTGCTGCCCTGGCTTTCTGTTGTTATTCTGGGATGTTGTCTTCGAGTTTTCTGGGATGTCTTTACGGATTTGGAGAGGAGCCTGATGCGCAGGCGGTGGAGGAGGAGGAGTACGACTGGGAGGAAGAAAAAGAGAAACGGAAAAGGATGAGGAGGATCATCAGGAACGCGGAACGAGCTTTGAGGTTTCAGGGGGGGTATGACTTTCGTACCCCCTATTTTTGTTGAACAATAGGGTTCAAGGCTACATCACCAGCAACAGAGAGGCCCCCTGTTCGCAGGATCTTTGCAAAGTTGAGATCTGGGACGTCGTCTGGTCCGTCTGAGCGCCCATGGCTCAAACAGGGGAGGTTGATTCATTTAGGCCCCCTCCCCGCGCGGCACGAGCTTTGAGGTTTCAGGGGGGGGGCCTGGGGACCTGAATTCCGTACCCCTTTTTTTTGAACAGTGGGGCTCAAGGCTCCAGCAGAAGATATGTCCCCTCTTCGCAGGACCTTGCAAAATTGAGATCTGGGACGTCTCTTGGTTTCGTCTTGGCCCCCATGGCTTAAAAAGAAGGCGTTGAATAATTTAGGCCCCCCCCGGAGGCTCAAACATTGCCTCATGGGGCCCTCTTGGGCCGCTGTTGGGCGTCTCGTGGGTGTGCTTTGGGCTGTCTTGGGGACGTCTTGAACCTCTCTGGGGGCTCTCTTGGGCCGTCATGGGACCATCTTGAGGCCTCAAAAGCCCATCGGAAGCAAAAAGGTGAGAAAGCAAACGCATTGATTTTCCGTAGGTTTTGAAATTTGGGCCTCTTGGGGGGTCATTGGAGGGCTCGGAGGGCCATTGGAACAGTCAGGGAGCTGCCTTGGGGCCTCTTGGAGGCATGTCGAAGCCTATATTGAGCCGTCTTGAGCTATCTTGAGCCATCTTGGAGACAATTTTGGTGTCTCTGAGGCCCTCTTGGAGCCATCTTGGGTCATCTTGGGCGCTCTAGCTACCCGCAGCCCCCCCCCTCCCAGGCCCAGGGGTTGGGGGAGGCGGAGGGGTAAACCCTTCCCCCCGAGCAAGGGAAGGAGGGAGCTTTGGCAGAGAGAAGACAAAACTTGTTGAACCGCCTACGCAGAGAGGGCTGGAGAGATTTTTAGGCCGAGTGCGCGCGGCGCTAAGGCACGAGGCACATATTGAAAACTACCCGCCCTCAATCCGTGGAACTGCTGCGAGTTCTCAGCTTCAGGGTCGAAAATAGTGACGACGTCTCAGCGAAACGCCCGGCCCGCCCTTCCGACCGGCCTCGGAATTATTTATGAGGGAGAGGGATGGGGGAGGGGGAGGAGGAGAGGAGGAGATGGAAAAGGAGGAGAAGGAGGAGGTGGAGGAGGTGGATAGGAGGAGGAGAGGAGGAGGAGGAGGAGCAGGAGGAGCAGCAGGAGGAGGAGGAGGAGGAGTAAAAGGAAGAGGAGGTGGATGGGGCTGGAAGCAGGAGCAGGTCCAGGGTGGCGCCCCAAGGAGGAGGGCAAGCTCTTCAAGATGCCGGCCAACTGCTCCGTGCTGCAGTGGGAGTACGGTACGCGGATGGCTGGCGACCCCTCGCGCGACGCCGCAGCACCCTGCCTGCCCGCTCAGCCGCGCAGTCCGCCCTCTGGTCCGCCCTTCCTCCGCACCCGCCTTCCGATCCTAGCTGGAGGAAGGGGGGGTAATGATAAGGCTGCTGCTGCTGCTGTCGCTGCTGCTGATGATGATGATGAGGATTCTTCTGATGGTGATGGCGACGACTGTGATGATAATGATGATGGTGATGGTCATGGTCATGGTGATGGTGATGATGATGATGATGATGCTGATGATGATGATGATGATTATGATGGTGGTGATGATGATGAGAGTGATGATGCTGATGATGATGCTGATGATTCCGACGCTGCTGCTGATGATGATGCTTTTGGTACATGGTCCCATTATGCTTATACTTGTGGTGACTCTGATGTGGATGATTTCGTCGAAACTGATGATGGCACTGATGAAGATGGGGATGCCTATGCTTACGATGATGATGCTGATGATGCTGACGATAATGACGATCATGCTGATGATGCTGATGATTATGATGATGACGCTGCTGCTGATGATGCTGATGCTGATGATGATGCTGATGATGATGATGATGATGATGACGCTGCTGCTGACGATGATGATGGTGGTGATGAGTGTGATGGTGAGGATGATGTGGATGACGATTGTGAGGATGCTGATAAAAATGCTGATAGTGGCGGTCTGTATGCTGCTGGTTATGATGATGCAGCTTCTGCTGCAGCGCTGCTGGTGATGATAATGACGATCATGCTGATGACGATTATGAGGATGAGGCTTCTGAGGGTGATTATGGTTATGCTGATGGTGGTGGTGGTGGTGATCATGATGATGATGGCAATGCTGAGGATGGTGGGGTTGATCATGATGCTGCTAATGTTGATGAGGCTGCTGCTGCTGATGGTGATGCTTATGATGGTGGTGATGTTGATGCTGCTGATGATGGTGAGTGTGATGATGATTGTGATGATAGTGGTGATGATGATGAAGTTGCTGCTGATGATGAGGATGATGATGATGCTGCTGATGATGAAGGTTTTCATGCTGATTATGGAGAGTATGCTGATGGTGAAGATGAGACTGGGGTTGCTGCTGATGACGATGATGATGATGAGGATGAGGCCGATGAGGAGGAGGATGATGAGGAGGAGGAGCAGGAGGAGGAGGAGGAAGAGTCGGAGTCGGAGGAGAGAGAGAGAGAGAGAGAGAGGGAGAGGAGGAGGAGGAGGAGGAGGAGGAGGAAGCGGAGGGGAGGAGGAGGAGGAGAGGAGAGAGGAGGAGGAGGAGGAGGAGGAGGGGGAGGGGGAAGGGGGAGGGGGAGGGGGAGGGGGAGGAGGAGGAGGAGGAGGAGGAGGAGGAGGAGGAGGAGAGGAGGAGGAGGACGAATAATAATAGTCAAAGTGAGGGGGCCGAACGGTCATTCACTGTCCCTGGGTGCGTGGCTGAAGTGGGATTCCGCGGTGCGGATTCTTGTTGTTGTTGTTGCTGTTGTTGTTGTTGTTGTTGTTGTTGGTTGTTGGTTGTTGGTGTGGTTGTTGGTTGTTGTTTGTTGTTTGTTGTTTGTTGTTTGTTGTTTGTTGTTTGTTGTTGTTGTTGTTGTTTGTTGTCGTCGTCCCCCGCGACCCACCCCGCAACCCACCCCGCGACCCACCCCGCGACCCACCCGACCCACCCGCGACCCACCCGACCCACCCCGCGACCCACCCCGCGACCCACCCCGCGACCCACCCGCGACCCACCCCGCGACCCACCCCGCGACCCACCCCGCGACCCACCCCGCGACCCCCCCGCGACCCACCCCGCGACCCACCCCGCGACCCGCCCGCGGCCCACCCCGCGACCCACCCGCGACCCACCCGCGACCCACCCGCGACCCACCCGCGACCCACCCCGCGACCCACCCGCGACCCACTTTCGACCCAAACCACGCTCAAGGTACAAACCACCATTTTCGGCGCATGCGGCGGGCTTCTTTTGCATTCCTTCCAGGTGGAGAGCCCGCGACCCACCCCGCGACCAACTCGCGACCAACCCGCGACCCAAACCACGTTCAGGGTGCAAACCACATGTTTCGGCGCCTGCGGCGGGCATCTTTTGCAATCGCTTCAGGTGGAGAGCCCGTGGCCCACCCCCGACCACCTTCAGGGTACAAACCAAATGTTTCGGCGCCTGCGGCGGGCATCTTTTGCACTCGTTCCCGGTGGGGAACCCGCGACCCACCCGCGACCCAAAAAACCACGTTCAGTCTACAAACCAATGTTTGCGGCGCCTGCGGCGGGCTGCTTTTGCATTCCTTCCAGGTGGAGGTGGAGAGCCCGCGACCCACCCACGACCCAAACCACGTTCACTGAACAAACCAATGCCGCACAAGCGCGGCGGCGGATTTTTGCATGCCGTCTGAGCCCGCAACGACCTCTTCAAGCCCCGCGCATCCACACCAGCCCGTCCAGCAACTTTGCCCTGGCGAGTTGCCTTGATTAGAACAGACGGGGAGCATAAAGTTGAAAAAAAGGATTGCGTTGCCGTTATCTTGGGAAAGGAGGGGGAGGCTTGAGGAGTAAACAGGGGACGAGGAGGTCGCGGAAGAAGAGAGGATGTAAGGAGAAAGTGGAGAAAGAGGAGGAGGATGAGCAGGAGGACGAGGAGGGGGAGGAGGGGGAGGAGGAGGACGAGGAGGGGGAGGATGGGGGAGGAGGGGGAGGAGGATGATGATGGACGACAATGGGAGGGCGATGATGGAGGCCGATGAGGGGGAGGACGACAATGGGAGGCCGATGATGGAAGGACGAGGGGGGGAGAGGGAGGACGAGGAAGAAGAGGAGGAGGAGGACCAGGTGGAGGAGGAGGATGACGATGACTATGACGATGAGGACGAGGACGAGGACGAGGAAGAGGAGAAGGAGGAGGAGGAGGAGAGCGCCATCGACAGGGAAGGTGGGGGCCACGAGGTCCGCCGGCTCGACGACGCCCGCGTCGCCCGCGCCCGCCCCCTCATTCTTATCCGCAAGTGCGGGGTGCTACGTAGTAATAATAATAAGAGAAGACGAATAATAATAGTAAGCAGAAGAGTAAGAAGCAGACACATGAAAATACGAATAACAGTACTAAGCAGAAGAAGACGAATACGAAGAAGACGAAGACGAGGAGGAGGAGGAGGAGGAGGGGGAGGTGGTGCTAGAGGAGGATGAGAAGGATGAGGAGGCGGAGGATGCGGAGGAGGAGGAGGAGGAGGAGGACGTAGACAAGCTAGTGATGGGAGCTGGCGAAGGAGGGGAGGAGTAGGAGTAGGAGGAGGAGGAGGGAGAGGAGGCGAGGAGGAGGTGGAGGAGGAGGAAGAGGAGGCGGAAGAGAGGAGTGGAGAGGAGAGAAGAGAATCCGCGAGGTGAGAGAGGGGAGGAGATGAGCGGAGAGAGAGAGAGAGGAGAAAAGCGAGGAGAGGAGCTCTCAGGAGAGCAGAGGAGAGGAGGCGGAGGAGGAGGAGGGGGAGGAGGAGGATAATGAAGAGGAGGAGGAGGAGGAGGAGGAGGCGGCAGCGGCGGAGGAGTACGAGGAGGAGGGCGAGCAGAGGAGGCTGGCAAGGCGGCGATGAGAGTTGGCGGGGGTGACGATGCTGACGATGATGATGGCGACGACGACGATGATGATGATGATGATACTGATGGTGCTGATGCTGATGATGCTGATGATGATGCTTCTGATAATGCTGATGCTGGCGACGACGACGACGACGTCGATGATGATGATGATGATGATGCTGATGCTGATGCAGATGACGATGGTGATGAGGATGAGGATGATGAGGTTGAGGATGGTGCTGATATTGATGTGGGAGGGTGCGACTGACGATGGTGATGACGATTTGACGATTGTGATGCTGATTATGACGGCGACGGTGACGATGCCGAGGCTGCTGATGATGCTGATGATGCTGAGGCTGATACTGATGCTGGTACTGCTGATCATGGTGATGATGCTGCTGATGATGATGATGATGATGCTGATGGTAATACTGTCGATGCTGTGTATGATGATGCTGATGTGGTAGTGCTGATGCTGAGGACGATGACGATGACGATGATTATGACGATGGTGATGCTGATGATGCTGATGATGCTGATGATGATGCTGATGATGATGATGGTGATGCTGGTGCTTGCTGGCGATACTACAACTGACGAAGGTGCGGATGCTGTAGGTGTTGTTGATGATGATAAGGATGTTGATGATGGTGGTGATGATGATGACGATGACGATGATGGTGATGTTGTTGATGATGCTGCTGCTGATGTTGGTGATGATGTTGATGATGCTGATGATGATGCTGATGAGGATGCTGAGGGCAAGAGGGAGGAGGGGGAACCGATGTGGCAATTGTATGGATGATGATGGTTGTGGTGCAATTGAGCATGCTGACGGTAGTGGTGATGACGGTGATGCGTGTGATGTGTGTGAAATCGATGATGCTGGTTTTGATGTTGCTGCCGATGATGATGATGCTGATGATGATGATGATGGTGCTGCTGATGATGATGATGGTGATGATGATGATGCTGATGCTGATGATGATGATGATGATTATGCTGCTGATGATGATGAGGATGCTGAAGGCGAGAGGGAGGAGGGGGAAACGATGGGATGATGGCATGGATGATGATGATTGTGGTGCGAATGAGCATTCTGACGGTAGTGATGATGGTGTTCTGATGGTTGCTGATGGCGAAGATGATTGTTGTGAGGATGCTGATGCCCAGGATGATGAATGGAAGATGAGGATGAGGATTAGGACGAGGATGAGGATCAGGAGAATGAGAATGATGCTGATAATGATGATGACAATGCTGATGATGATGCTGCTGCTGATGACAATGCTGCTTATGATGCTGCTGCTGATGATCAGGAGGAGGCGGAGGAGGAAGAGGAGGGGTAGAGAAGGCTGATGAGGCGGCGATGGGAGCTGGCGGGGGTGATGCTGCTGATGCTGAAGATTAATGT